AAAAACATGGACATACAATCATACATAGTGCATTTAACATTTGTGAATGTAATAATTGGGACTGTTGTAATAGTATATATAGTGCAACTAAGACTAATGCTGCCACCAAGTGGTAAACAATATAAATACCTACCCTGTAAATGAAATAACTGATTTGACTTTGACTGATATGTACTCAGTTTTCTCATTATCATATAATGTAGACGGGTCCTCAGGATTGGTACTAGAAACAAAAACAAATGCACTTTACATTATTCAGCTACTTTACAGCTAAAAGATGGAATTTTGGTTGAAAAAAGAAGCCTGAAAAATGACAAATTAGGTAATTATTATTCAAAGATTGCAACCTGAAACTAATCCCAGACCATCTATGTATCAAGTTTGAAATCTGTTGAATAGTACATGAGAAACAAGTGAAAATTCCTAAATTTGGCTAATTAATATGCAAAATAGGTCATTAAAATGTATGAATTTCAACCAAAAACTAAAAAAAACAGATGCAGTAACTGCAAAGACTCCCATTATGTTTACACAAGTAAAAAAAAAAACAGATACATACAGTGCGATGCGCCTCAAAAATCACAAGCGGCGAGGCGAGGGTGCACCGAGGGCTCGCCCGGCGAGCAGGGTGAATTATTACCTTATTTTCCTGCATTTAAGCATGCATATATATACTGTACAATAAGCCTTATTACATATAAATTCTCAGAGATTAGTCAATGAAAACATATGTAAACATATGTAATATATGATATGAAACCTACCAATTTGCGTACAGTTGAATTTCTGTCGTCTTCAATGTATCATCCAATTTAAGTGTTGATAGAGTTAAAGCAAACTCAACCTGAAATTGATGATATTCAAAAATATGGTAAAACATTTGATTGGCTAATGTAAACATATCCAAATTTGAAATCTTCACAAAATATTGGTGAAGCAAATATGTGGAGCCTCTATTAAAATGTATTCGGATTGTGTATAGTGTCGAGGCAAGTTGCATCACAAATCACGCTGTAAATGCCCTATAATTTTAGGGTCCATATGATCGCCCACTTTAACAGTGATTGAAATTCGAGATGCCTGATTTGAACGAATTGTGGCCAGATATTTCCTTCACAATATTTTAGCCTCAAAATTGATATACAAAAAATACAAGTTCAGAATATGAATTTAAAGGAGTTAGCTCAAAGATATGTACAATGTAGTAATGGGTCAAAGAGATATCCTTACAATCAGCTACTGTCTATGTTTGGTAACTTCAACAATAAAGTATAGCGCCCTCTTTAGTTCAGTAATATGTAACAACAAAGCCTGCGTCCATCATACTTATAAGGTATACCAGACTAGTCATACATTTGCATAGAGTATTTGTTTTCCTGTACATCTTTTTTACTAGTAATGTAAGAAAGTCTGCCATCACTTCCAATTAAAATAAAAATCACTTCATTACTCTCACCAGACTATTAAAATTACAGCGGTTTTAGATTCTGAAGGACATCATTTTATTTTTCTCAAATTTCAAATATCAGACAGGTACATTGCATAATCATGAATATATTATGTTCACAGCATATACAATTTCCATTGTCAACCCAAGAATTGCTTGGGTAAGCTGGAATAAGAGAATCTTGCATGAACAATCAAAATACAAATTGAAGCCCTATTTGTTGGTGGATCAAAAGAAATGTTTCTACAGTCTAGGTGCTCATCAACCCCCACTTTGCCATTTAATCCTCACGTAATCCAGCTTGATCATAAAGCAATATTAATTCATCTCACAAGTAATGGAGGGTGAATAAATTTCTAAATCTGATGTACATACTAGCTGCCAGCCAGCCAGCCAGCCAGCCAGCCAGTGAGTGAGTGAGTGAGTGAGTGAGTCAGACAAAGCTGAGTATATATTTTGAAGTACTTCATATTACTGGGCGGCAGACAAACAAAGTACAGAACATAAAATATTTATCTTGCCACTTTTACATACTATGCTTGGTATATCATGTTTTATTTCAACTTCATAAAATGTGATTAGTCTTTTCATTACTTGACCATTTAAGTGTAAAACATACACGTTCAACTAGACGATATTGTGTTACATAATTTATCATCACGACTGGTATACACATATGCTACAAGCTAAATTATGGCTTTTATCTCTTGTATTGGGAAAATGCTTTTACATTCTAGTTAAATCATTGTCTGCTCCTCTTACCAAGCCACAAAGTTAAATTATCACATATTTTGGGGTAAATGAACACATCGTATGTACATCTACCATGGCAAGATGACATCATTTCATGCAATTTATATCCATATTTTAGTTGTTTTTATGTTTTGTGCTTGCTCACCCTTCATTGTCAG